GAAAAAATAGATTTTTCATATGTTTTACTATGTGATCGACAAAAATTACGTAGACTTTTGTCCAGTGAGTGTATACGCGATTAGCAGTTAACAACAATCGCATGTGCCGAACTCGAGCAAATTGATGGACAATATAGATTATTCATAATAGAGAATTATCGCTCTACAGTACGATTACCAGGGAAAAGTTCTCTAAATATGTTTTTATTGAAGTAACGGTGAGCTACAGAAGAAATTTGATTTGATAATTAAAGATGTGAAGGCAATATTAATATTGGCTATGAAAACAATCGCCCGACGCAATTATTTTCGTCTGATAATAGCGGGTAGAAGAGATATGCCATCGGTGAGGCCAAACAGTATAATAACTATGCGCAGACTTGCATCCAGTAGGCCCAATCTCATGTTGATTCTGAAAATTGTTGATACGCCAGTTCATTATTTATTGCGAAAGTACAACATGCAGGCAGAGGTAGCATCTACTGACACAGCATCTCCTTTATGTTTGAGAATGTATTTGAGTGCATAAATATTTCGAGAATAGTTCAAGCCAGTTAACAATTTCTCTATTTGTTCATCTGCGGATATAAACCCTTGTTCCATTAATTGAAGTCATAACGGATGCACGAGAAGCGCATGCAAAGGTAGAGCTTCAGCTTCCTACAACATAACATGCAAAGGTTAATTAGCAAAGTGAGGATGTTTTCATACGCTCGCCTATACCTCGTATGCCATTGTGCAGCGAACGGTCAGTTAATCACTCACTAGTCTTTCAACAACGATTCTTATGCTTTGTTCGCTATTGCTGAAATTCATTATAATTACTTGTGTTATTGTTATTTATTATTTGCATGGGGCGACACGACATAATAATAAGTGACGTGACCTAATAAAGACCACAAAGCTCTGTATTTAGTCAGTAGCCGCGCATTCCTTTTGCGGCATGCCCGGGTAGTCAGTTATTTTAATGGGAGGCATTCATTTCGCCGACAATCATTTCACCTCTTTAACATTATTCTAAAGTTATCCTTTTTGGTAGTTTTTGTCCGTGAAATGAACCAGACCCATTTTAATGAACTAGAGTGAAAAAGAATTTAAGAGGCTTCGCCTCTTCAGTCAATAAATCTGTACGTTCTCTACCAGTGGTTCAGCATTCAACTAGAGTATTATTCGCTGTTGACTTGGTATTTGTCCCGAAACGAAAAATCTTAATGACATTGGATCAACCCAATTGTAGTTCTCAATGCAGTAAAACCTAAAAACCAACGCCTTGAGACCGGATTACCCGTTGCATTTCTCCAAACTATTGATAGCTTTGAAATAACTTATTGTTGAATCAAAAATTATCTTTATGTTTCTGAACTTTTTTAATGCGCATTATATTGTGATTTTATTACTGTAATAGTCAGCCTTTATTATCACTTTCAAAAAGTTCAAAAATGTTATCTTTGTCTGAAAAGAGAAATAATCCAACTTTTTGTAGGCATAGTATCAATTTCACGACGAATAATGTTGTGTTTTGTTTTTTTTTGCAATAGCATTACGTAAATTACGTAAGTCGCACTTGGAGAAATAAATATTTACTAGAACGAGCCTCGACACTTCGTTGAGTTGCAGAAACGAACAGTTGTATTATTATTATGGTAGCTTTACTACACTGTAGAGAAGATTATCTTTGTTTATGTTCGAATACGCCATTAATGACAAGAAAAATTTGTTTAAATGAAATTTAAGTACACGGTCTCAAAATTCCTTCTTCTCTCCCCTCAACTATTGTAACCAATGTCCATTCATTGGAGCATTTATTATGACAGCAATAGAAACTCTGAATTAAATCACAAATACGTGTTTGATTGTCATACTACCGAAACATAAAAAATTCTAATCCCATTGAGAAATATACATAATCTAAAAAAAAAAAAATAGTAGAAAACGAATCTATTGCTCAGATGTCCAAAAGAAACGGACGAGATAAAAAAAAAAGTTAAATGTTTGGGGATTGTCATAATCAACAGAATTAAATAATAACCCTAACCGTTTCTAAAAACCATCCAGTGAAATCGATAGCTTTCCTTGGCAATTAAAACAATTATGACAAAAATATGTTGTGCTCGAGGATGTACTATAATCCGCCGGTCACAATCTTCTTCAACTGAAGACGTTTTCAAATTATTCGCGATTGCTTCCCATTCTACTTCCGTGATTTCATACATTACTCATTCCTCCTCCCATGAATCGTTATCGGCTTGTGCACCGTCTTGTTCATTTTCTTCATTATCCTCGAAACTCGGCGCTTTATATTCTCTCAACAGTTTTCTGCTTGCATATAAAATATAATCAATCAATTCGTCTTTTCTTTTTTCGGCTATCCTTTCCGTTAACAACACAACTCGCTTAATGCCTTCATAAGCTCTATCATGGAGAGCCAATATTCTGACTGATTCCTTTAAAACGTCATTCTCGATGGATTTTTCTGCGGAAAATTTTACGCTCTCGACTATACCCAAAAGCTCATTGGTAAGGCTGGGCTCGATTTCTAAATCTGGCATATAGAAATAAGATATGTCAACTTCAACATCAACATCAACGGCTAGCACCACATCGGCCGCGTTTGACGGTAAAGAATAGGCAGATGGGATATCAGTGAGAAAAATGAAAGCGGTCAAGAAGAAAAGAGTGTATGTGTATAAGTATTGCATTGATTGAAAAGTACTTGTCAGATGATTTCTGACAGCTGGATTTGATATATTTTATATAATTTCTTTGGATATTACGTACAGATCGCGTTTATATGTATAGGAAGAAATTTTTATTTTGTACTATCTACTGTATCGGTTGCCTAAATAGGATGGATGTTATTTTCAATCTTGGCGTGCTCAATAAACGGGTCTTGGCAGAGAACTTCTGATTCTCAACAATGTGATATAATTGTTCTAGGTTTACAAAATGTGAATGATAGAATGCCACCCACCGCAAGGTTCTTTGCAGCCTGTGAATCAGAAAAAAAAACAATCAGGTCGGGGGCCGCGTGCATTCTCAATCGACAAAATGAAAATCGCTGCTATTGTAAGCATAACACGTCAAAAATCTGAGAAATCACTACAAACGATTCCTAATCTTAAAACCGACAAATTTCAAAAAAAAAACCCAGCACTTTATGAAGAAATATACGTTTTTGCATTTCTTTAGAAAAGCCTCTCATTTTAAATAAAAAAGTCGACTCCAAGTGTGGAAGAAAGCATTAATTTGGTCAGACGAATCTACTTAAGGTTCCACTGAGAAACGCAATCCTCAGCCTTCAGACATTCACGAGGACAGTAAAATTTGATATTAGCCTTAACTTTGTCTCCCCCTCTCCCATGTGAAGTTTATTATAACAGTTTATTAGTTTCATTTTGTTGTCAATCCATAGAAGATTCAAAGTGATTGACTACAATGTGCTACATACGATATTGCTTCTGTCTTTAGAAACGAAAAGTATGAACGTGTGTACGCCAAGCACATGTTCGTTAATATAAAGGTACAAACAGATTTATTGATAACCATAGAGAAAATACTAGTGTCGATCACGAATCCCACCGTCTCTTCTTGACTGTAGAACTAGACCCTGCATTCTGTCCACTTTGCCCACTCTGACTGCCAGTATGCAAACTTCCCAGTGCAGGCTCGGCGGCTGTGGCTTTTTGAAAACTTATCTGATACCGCGATTGAGTGCTTGCAACATTGCTATGACTAGAATAACTACTCTCACTGCTTTGTGAAGGCGGTGGCGGAGGTGTTTGCATTGACTGTCGAGTAGTGTTACCCCGTGGGATGGCGTTTGCACCAGTTGCGCCTATCCCTCCACGAACTGGAATGGACACATAAGTTTATGTATTATTAAGATGTACATTCATGTCAATTTGCTTTGTACAAAACTTTAACTTGTTTTGGCATGGTTAAACTCTAAAAATAAGCGTGTTGACCGTGTCAAGCAATATACTTTATGCATTGTCGTACCTCCAAAGTCTCTCCCACGTTTGCCTTTGCCTCTGTTTCCTCGACCACGGCCGCCCCCACGAATCATCTGTCGAGATTTCCTGAACTTTGAATTCTATTGAAATGTCCCAGATTAGAAATTATTGGCACGTGTATAAGCAGTCCTATGAATAGAATTGCCCACACCAACAGTAGATCTTCTTACCTTCATCGCCAGTTCCATTAGTTTATCAGGAACCGCCTGCCCAGATGTTTCTAAATTCCTAACTAGTTGAGCAGCAAAGCTGTCCTCCTTTTGTGTTATCAGAGTATACGCGGTTCCCTTTTCGCCTGTTATAATTTAGTTAGAATCTTTTTTTTTTTTTCATTTTCTATTATGTATAGATAAATATAACGTACCTGCCCTTCCTGTTCTCCCAATACGATGTACGTGCGAATCAATATCCCGTGCTATGTCATAGTTAACCACTGTCTTGACGGATTTAATATCGAGCCCCCTCGCTTTTTGTTACAATGAACAAAAAAATCGTTAACAAAACCAATCATTTATCTTCGTTCATAATTAATTTCGGGTCGTAGTCTACCTGCAACGTCTGTTGCTACTAATATGGGAAACTCGTTGTTTTTGTATTCCCTTAGTACTTTGTCTCGTTCATATTGAAGCATGTCACCATGTAAAGCACCACCTAAATATATAAAGTGAGCCAATCTTGTCAAATTATATACTAATTGCAAAAAACTATATTACGTACATTTATATCCATTCTCTCTGATATTCATCGATAGTTCGTCGACACCACCCTTACGGCTAACGAAAATAAGAACACTTCCCTCTAGTATGGAAAAGGTACGTATTAGAGGATGTAACAACACGGAAAAGCATATCCACAACCTGTCGTATTATTGCTCACCGAGACACAACGAAACCAGGTGAGCCATAAGCCATCCCCATTTATATCCGTCATCAGGTACTATTTCTATTACTTGAGTAATATCCGTATTCGCCTAAAATAAATACATCCTATAAGCATTTTCAATAACAAGTATAGCTCAGCGCAGGACAAGTTTATTACCTGCCCAACGTTACCAATGCTTATCCGCACTGGTGCTGTGGTAACTTCACGCGCGAGTCTTTCTACTTTCTTCGGAAATGTCGCGCTGAATAGTAGTGCTAGAAGAAAAATTAAGAGTATTAATTAACGCGTAGTGATAACAACACAAAGTAATACGAAGCGGTACTTTACATACTCTGTCGATCTGGTCGAATATTGTCACAAATAGAACGCACTTGCGGTTCTGCGGATCGAGAAATGTTATGAGGGGGAAAAAGCCATATTAAAACTTTTATCTTCTCTAGGGCTTTTCAATTTATCCGAGAAACCCACCAAATCCAAGATCAAACATTCGATCGGCTTCATCAAGTACTAAGAAACTAACTCTACGAAAGTTAGTTGCTTTCATTTTGACCATATCAATCAGTCGTCCCTGATTATTTAGTGTACAACTCACGATCAACGATAAATTCATAAAAAAAACACTCTCACAACATGGTGATACACCGTTCTGTACGCATATATGCAAATATCAACTATGGATCTACTCACCGGCGTACCGACAAGAATCTCAATTCCACCTGGCCGAAGCTCCTTGAATTGGTCCATCTTTGAAGCACCGCCATACACGGCTGCAACTCTGCATAGCATTGATCAATGGTAGATTGGATTTGCAGAGAGAAGAGAGAAAGTAGTGTGTGTCGTCTTCATGCCCCTTGTTTTCATACAATTCACTCGCTAAACATTCTGTTACTTCTACCTCAGACCATAGCATTTGGCAAATTTCTTGGCCTCGGTGTAGATTTGACCGGCCAGTTCCCTAGTGGGTGCCAAAATTAAGCCTATCGGGCCTTCACCTTTGAATGAAGATAAAGTTCGAGTTTAGAATATACCATAACAGTCGTGGTACTCGTAGCACGAATGAAAACCGGCGGCCATTTCTCAGTGGAATGACATAGTCTCATTTAATAGCCGACGAGTCTGCGATATGAAAATAGATACCGGTTTGAAGCTCGGGTTGATCCATGATGTGAATCAACATTGGCCATATGAATGCAGCCGTTTTACCAGAACCTGGTTAAAGTAGTTAAACATTTATTTTAGTAGTATCGAGAATAATAGTTAATATCATGATTGATAATTTTATGTTACCTGTTTTGGCTATTCCAATAATGTCTCTTCCCGAGAGAGCAACCGGCACTGCCTAATACAACGAAATCGTGTTTGCGTAAGCACAGAACAAAACATACTATCTTCTGTTATCTTCACGGAGTTTAACACGCCAAATTATTATCTACCTGTTTCTGAATAGCCGTAGGTTCGCTGTAACCGTGTTTGACAATATTATCCACTAATGCTTCGTCAAAACCAAAATGTGCAAATGCGATGCATGGCTTGGCAACATCAACACCAGAGACGTGCATGTCTGGATGGAAAACATAGGTGGGATTGATATCAGATAACAAACGTGGTAAAAACAGAGATACAGTAGTCGTTATCAGTCAGGACTGAATAATGTAGCATGAATTAACATGCTTTGGTGTGATGTATGTAAAACTTTTATCGGCATCAGTATTTCTCTCTTTTTGAGCCTTTGCCGTCCGCACGCTGGCGTTTACATGCATCAAACCATACTGCACAAGATCATTTCTTCTTGCGTTTTCCAAGTATTATTTGCACGGCATACCTAAATCCTTTCTAATCTGCCTTAATTTCTCTTCCGACATTGCCGCAATTTCAGGATGCTCTTCGTAGAAATCTTTCTCAATCTCAGGATACTCGATCCGCGAATGATCTGTAAAACAGATAATATGACCCATTCAATTCATCATCTTTCATATATTACAACGATAAGATCGTTTGCATGCTAGTTACCGACGGCGGGGAGAGGTTCAATATCCTTGCGTTTCTGTTCTACGATAGGATTATCATCTGAATCATATCTAAAGATGATTATTGACGATGAGGAAAGTGTTTGCATTATATAACAACAAGCCTCATCCTTCAATACATACTCTAATTGTGCATCAATCGCTCGGGCAGTTGCATAAACCTCTTCATCCGAGTCGACGTTCTAGTAAAGAATTTGCACATAAATCTTCTGATCTCTTGCTATTAATCAACAACATTCCACGCATGTAATCATATCAACCTCATCTCTTTCTATTGTCTGTCTTTGACTTCTGCCAATTTCTATGCCTCTTTTTCTCATGTGTTTGAGATAGCTCTCTACATAATCTTCGTCTTCAATATCGTCCCTACGTATCTGTCACGTAACGGTTGAGAAATGATATGAGTTATCAAGAAACAAAAAAAAAAAAAGAAGTCAACATCGAGACTTACCTTTTCCTTTTGAGAATCTTCCATACTCTCCTTCTTTACTTGATTATCTATATCGAGCATAAATGCATCCAATGGATCATCCTCTTCTTCGTCCTCATTCTCTGGTGCTTTCGGTTGGGGAGTTGTCAATTTTGTAGTGACAGACTTTTCTAACCCCCTATTGGCACTATATCCCTGCGGTACAAACCCCCTTATACCTACAGTCAAAAACAAGTATTTAAGTACATCAGGTCCACGAGAATGGGAATTGCAGTATCAGACTCTTAACCTGTCGAAGTAGTCGGCTGCGCTGGCCTATCGTCTTCAAGATCGCCAACAAACTCGTGTTCCTTGTATTCCTGCTCTTCTGCAGTCGACCTGCTTTCCGTTTTGCTACTTTCTAATGGCTCGTCGTCGTCCAATTTAACGAGCTTTCGTTTCTTGGGCTGCATTTCATCTTCTGAAGATTGATCTAATGGCGGAGGCTTATGACGGGGAGAATCGCCAGTATCAAATACTGATTTTGTGCTTTTATTGGACGAACTCTGTGAGAAACCAAAAGTAAATGGTTTATTCGGCTTGTTATTATTCATGGTGTAGAGTATGTAGTTATTACTATTGTTTGAAGAGTAAGAACAAAATAATTTAAAGTCATTCAATGTGTCTCGCAAACATAATTTCAAGGGGGGATTCAAATTTGGTAATCAATTAATATTAATGGTAAAAATTGGATATGAGAATTACACTGATATTTTGCAATTGCAATCGCGTATTGATAGACATTTTTGCGTGAACGTTTGGCTATTCCTTCGCAAGCACGTCAACATACGCGTTACTTAATTGAAGATCTGAAGACTATGGAGATTTGACAGATGACAACTACAACTGTTGTACAATAAATATAAAGATTTCTCTGTTTTCTGTCTATGTCAGACTGTTGGTTATTAAACGATATTCGCTACGTAAGTGGATATCGTATGCTCATTACTATTACCGACTTGATAATGTGCAGTCTATGTGAGAAATAAATTGCATGTGTTGTTATTATTATGAATTATTATGTACAGTTCTGGAGAAGAAAAAAAGACGCAATCTCGGAAAATTAAAGATTATAACAAGAATTGCTATTGCAAATGTCTGTACTAGTACATTAAAATTCTATATTAATATTAAAGTGACTGATACTATTTTAATTCGTCACAACTATTTGATACATGGTAGAACAATTGCACTGATGTGAAGCTTACATATCATATACTTGATTTCGCAATCTTCAACAAGTCAGTGAAATAATCGAATAAGTACAAAATTATTATCCACCTACTATAGTCATAGTTTGAAGCTCAATGACTATTGGCTTATTTTAACTCACAAATCTGATATTTACCAAACATAGTAATAGGCATTTATAATAAAATGCTAAATTAGTTACACAAAAAATCTTTACGTTTCCGCAAATAATATTTTTTATAATAACTGTGTGTAAAACACTCAATTAACAACATAGTAGAAAGACAAGTTTCGTTTTTTCTTTCTCTTTAATATTAACACGTCTTACAAGTTGTCACGTAAAACTGACTTATCGAGACACACCCTAAGTTAGCTGAGAGCCGTTGCCGGCATATCGAAAATTTTTAAATAGTGAAAAAGCGGCCGACTTGTGCCAAAATCGATTATCAAGACTGACTGCGTATTTGTTACTAAAATACAGTGCTGTACAAAAGTAATGACGGTCAGTTTTGAGATGTTGTGAACGCAATTTGGTATATAAATACAAATAAAAAACTTTTATGAAAGCCCAACATTATGACCACAAATTTAGTTATATAACTACTATTAAAATGTTTTCATAATAAATAATAAAATCTACCATTTAATATTAACTCACATTAACAGATATGTATGTTTTACATTCTGACATTATTGGTTTTTTTTTCTACTCTGATCACATTTTTATAACATATTAATATTTTGCAAAAAAACATGAGCAGTCTCCCACTGTTCAGTTGTCTTTTTATGCCATTCAACTGCTTTGGCATGTCCTTGTTCAGCTGCTTTTAGATACCATTTAACTGCTATTTGTTCATTCTTTTCCACTCCAGTTCCACTGGTGTAACATACAGCAAGATTATATTAATATTGAGCATTGGCAAGCCCTTGTTCAGCTGCTTTTTGATCCCACTCAACTGCCTTCTGTTCATCTTCTTCTATACCAGTCCCATTAACAAAACACTGACCAAGATCATATTGTGCTTGAGCATTTCCTTGTTCAGCTGCTTTTTGATACCATTTAACTATCTTTTGCTCATCTTTTTCTACTCCCCTTCCAGTATCATAACACAAGCCAAGAATATGTGCTTGAGCATATCCTTGTTCAGCTGCTTTTTGATACAATTCAACTGCCTTTTCTTCATCTTCTCTACTCCAGTTCCAGTACAATAACACAAACCAAGAGTATATTGCACTTGAGCATATTCTTGTTCACACAGCTTTTTGATACCATTCGACTGCCTTTTGCTTATCTTTTGCTACTCCAGTTCCATCATAATAACACAAACCAAGATAATATTGTGCCTCAGCAACACCTTGTTCAGCTGCTTTTTAATACAATGCAAATGTCTTTTGATCATATTTTCCTACTCCAGTTCCATCATAATAACACACACCAAGATTACATTGCACATCAATATCACAATGTTCAGCTGCTTCTTGAAACCATTCAACTGCATTTTGTATTTGTTCATTCTTTTCTACTCCAGTTCCACTCTCATAAGAAATAACACACACCAAGACTATTTTGTGCCCTAACACTTCCTTTACCTTGTTCAGCTGCTTGTTTGTATAATTCAACAGCCTTTTTGATATCTTTTTCTACCCTGATTCCATTTTCATAACAATCACCAGGATTATATTGATCTTCTTCATTGTTATTGATAATTGAATCAAGATTATACATTTGTCCTGTTCTTGATAATAGAATTGTAGTGCTTGGAACATAATCTTTCTTCATTTGACAATTGAGTATATCATGACACAATTTTCTTGGTAATAAATCATCAAATAGAAAAGCCTTATCAGCAGGCATATTGATGTGAGGTATTAGTATACAATCTGCTATAATGTCTTTCACTGTACTAATTTCATGTGATGACCAATTATCCAGATCAATTTCCAAGTTCAAGCCCAGGCACTTGTTTAGTGGCCCATTGCAGAACTGACATCCAAATGCCATCTTCTTCCATGCTAAGGTCATCATTTTTGAGAAAATTGATTAAGTATAAGGTCTCCTTTGGTAAAGTTGTAAAATAGTTTGATTTAAATACAACATCTAGTTGTAAAACCATAACTTGATTGCCTATTCAAAAGAGCAGTAGAAAGAGCACACTGATGAACTGTAATAATATTCTGTTGAATCCATTCCTTTTGTTTCTCAATCAAGTAAGTTTCAATTGCAATGAGAAGATTAAGTAGTTCAAGTTTACTAGCTCCATTCAGAAGGCTAATCCAACTCACAAGTTTGCATGAATCATAGAAAATTTGCCCAGTATAAATAAACCTGCAGAGGGCAATTTATTTATAGTAATAGTATTAGTATTTGATATGATAATAAGCATATTTCGGTAATGTTATAAAATGAATTTACCTAAGCAGAATTTCGAAGACATCAGGTGACACATCCTCTAGTATCATAGCAGTCTTTTGAATCTCTTCAGACGTCTCTGAATTTCCGGTTAAACTGTTCTCAAAGAATAAGCATTGTGTACACAAGATTAGTATATGAGCGAAAAATATTTTGCTCCTTTCCAACATGAATTGAAATGTCTACATACAGTGAACTCTCCCTAAATGCACACCCTTGGGACCGAAAGTGTGAAAGTGTGCATTTAGGGAATAATGCAAAAA